AGTGCCAGGCAAAGTTGGGCGTCCCAGCTTTGGTCCCGCTCCGGGCTTGTGCTCCTGGGTGGGCGGCGAGCACAGCCTCTCCCCAGCAAAGCGATTTGGTTAATGGGGCCTGCATGGGGCCACCATCCATGCCCGTAGGCCATGCGGGAAGCTGCCCGGGCACCAGGGTGTGCGGCAGAATGAGCACGGTCGCGGTGTGCGCACCGAGGAGCTGCTGACTACTCTCTGCAGACGGCGGCAGCTCGATGGTTAGGAGGTCCCACGGCTGCAGCACAGCTGCAGAGAGCGCAAGTGACACTGAGGAGTGGGGGCCATGGCTCTGTGCACCCAGGCATGAGGCTGTGCAGCAGCGCACAGCATCCTGCGCGGGCAGCAGGAGCCACACGCAGCCAGTGGCTCCTCCTGCACCGGCCTAGACCGTACTAGCATCTCCCACGTGCCTCTGCAAAACCCAGCAACAACCCAGAGCCAGTGGGGGCCAGAACCTGGAGCGCTAGCATGAAAAACCCTAATTACCAGCGCTCCCAGGCAGCAAACCTTGGCCATAGGTTTGCATGGGAAGAGGCAGGAAGCACCATGCGAGCAGGCAGGAGAGGCCATTTTTCTGAGCATGGACACTGCTGCTGAGAGTGACACAGAGGGAAAGGGCCTTGAAGAATCATAGGAACAAAAAGGTCAGTGATCACCTCGCAGCTCAGCCAGCCAGTGGATCCCACGCACCTGCAGGGAACGTCTCATGCAGAGCTAGGGAGATCAAGTGGGTCTCAGCTCAAAGTGAGGTTCTTCTGCAGGGAAGCTCTGGAGAAACAGCTGTGACCATAGAGCCAGAGGTGGAGCTGGTGTGGAGGGGTCTGCGGCTGGAGACCCCGTGTCTGGCTGGCACCAGCCCCCCTGCCGAGCTCCGAGGCCAAGAGGCCAAAGCAGCCTTTGCTTCTCCTCCCGTGAGCATCTCCCCATCTCTTTAACACACGAGTCGTGACAGCTGTGCTGGTGTGACGTGAGCACCACAGCGGGACCTGCCTGCCCCAGTGTGCGTGTATGAGGTGGGTGCCAGTGGAACCCGGACACCCAGTGATCAAGCAGGCAACAAGCTGCCGTTTTGAGCGTGTTTCACGTAAAACCCGTCAGTCAGTGCAGCCTGGCGGCTGCGTCCCGTAACCCGGTGGCTGCGAACGGGACGGGACCCTCAAATGCGCTCGCAGGAGGCAGTGCCCAGCCACGGGCGAGGGGGACGGCGCAGCGCCCAGGGAGAAGCCAAGCGGCGGCCACCGCCCCGGGGCCGCCGCGGG